AGTGACAAGTTTTCGAACTTCTAGACAACGGAGCAAGCCATTGTCAGCTAAAGCTGTAACAGTAGGATTCTGTCGAATTGAGACTTCGTGCCTTAGCATCGTGAGCTTCTTTCATTGATAGATATTATGTAAAATGCAGAAGTAAAACAGTTTTTCTAAATGTAAAATAATCATACAATACGTTAAAATATGAAAAACTGCTCCAGATGGAATATATTTCTCAATAGAGTTCCGCTGTATTTCATTTCTGAAAGTGTAAGAAAATATTGCATATTTTCTTGAAAACTAACTCCTCCCAATACAAAACTGAGGGTATATGTCAATTAATTATATTTACAGTATGTAGAATTAGTAACTAATTTGTATTATTGTAGTAGTGGTAAAAGTTTACAAATTTATTTTTTGGTTGCAAAATTCATAGATCCTAATAGACAACTTAATTAAACGTCTTTTTAAAATTCTGGTGATTTTAACTCTAAAGCCTTTTACATTTACGTTGCCGGGGGTTTGGTGAGTACTGTTCATCAAATTATTATCTTGACTTCTGGGTTAGCATAAAAACAAATTATGCCAAAACAGCTTTTAACTTTTATGCTAAAAATATTGTCATTTCTAATAGAAACAATACAAAATCATTACGTATGAATAAATTACAAAATATAATACAATAAAAATATGAAAAAAAGAAGTAAGCCTACAAATAGAATAATTCTGAAAACTCTTTAACATTCTTCTCTACAATATATTACATATTAATTATCATATTTTAAATATTTTTACACATTCATATTTTACATTATTATATTAGGCTATTTATTTCTCAATGTATGTAAAGTAACCTTCTTACTAACAATTTTCTCACTTCTAGGTGTTTATACGATCTATTTACGATCTACGAAATTTAAAGAGTTTTTATAAACACTTAATTATACTCGCAATATGTAGCTCTATACAATCATAAAAAGTAGTTGTACTTTAAGTGTTTGACTACATCAGGCACGTAGTGAATTCTGTTCGGTGACCAGAATTTACCATCGCTCCCGCTTTAGTGTTAATTAAAATATTGTGTTAAGATGGATATGACATATAACTCATATTGGGGATTTGTCCCGAATAGAATACATACTAACTACATATGTTTATATTTCCGAAATATGCGCTCATATTTAACGTTCGTCGGAATTAAATGGTAAACATACAGAGATTTAGGTGTAAGAGGTCTGAAACCGCTAAATCGATGAAACGTATCCCAGACTCTTCTGCGAACCATTTGGAGAGAAACGAGTTTTCCCGGAACGTTTTGAATGCATCACTTGAGCCGAATTCACCGAAAGCACGACAAAGGGCAATTCCAAAACAATACCACATAACAGCCTGCGTCAACTACGCATACATCCCGCTGCAAACTTTTCGAAAATACTGAAGCGTAGGAAAGCGGTCTTTATTATTTTATCGAATATCCATCTGTTTTTTTATTTAAACTGTATAACTCGAAGACCATACGTCAAAAGTTGTAATATTATTTAATAAAGTTGTAACAAGTGTAAGTAATATTTCAAATGCACGTACGAGTGGAATTTTTTGCATTTTGATTATTGATCTCCCTGACAGTCACTACATTTACGTTACTTCCCAGATCGGCGAGAAACTGAATCAGTTAGAACGGCCGGGGTGCCAAAAGAATGGGTGCCTGGGTTGCGCCGTGGCATAATGGTGAGATGCAACCCGCTTAACTGCTGTGTACCACGGACGCAGACAGGCATGAAAAGAGATGGTTGAAACGAAAAACTTGTTACAATATGTGGGGACATATGGACATTTACTGCATATTCATAGTTTTTGAACAAAGATATACAAAATTTGAATGTTATTTAATGTTTTCCTTAAGTAAAGTGTTTCCTTTTAATAGGTTGTTTGCTTTCTTGTAATAACTAAAAATATTTGCTTTTTTCGCCTGCTAGAAATAAAAAGAGGTAATAATATCCATTCCGAAAATTAATCAATATGCGCGTTTGAAAATCACAAAAATAACCCACGTTAATCCATAAACAAATTTTCAGGAATAAAATGTAGTATATAAATTAACTAGATACTGTAGATTTTCCCCCTGAAAATTCCAGGCAACAATTATCTATGGTATAGTTAAAAATATAAAAGAGAATGATTTTATCTTCTATTTATATTTTGCTATGCTGTAAAATGGGTGATTTACATTTGATAGAAGGAGAGTGTGTAGTTTGATTCTTATGAAGTGTCTTTTTTATTACGTTAACAACGAGGTTATTTAAAATTAGTAACCTTAATGAACGTAACTCCGATGTTCGTGTTTTTCCACTCACGGTGCCAAGAAAAGCCAAAGCGTCCTTTCCTGGAAGCTCATGTGAGTGCAAGGGCTGTGCGTGGGAGGAGTGTGGCAACGTGCGCGGGTGAGAATGCGCGACAGGTCACGGACAGGGCGTGGGCCCCGTCCCCGACTCTACTCTCTACCCCTCCGTCTCGCCCCACGCTCCCACGCTTCTCCGCTCACCACTGACATCCGGATTCTCAAGCCGGCCAGATCGGCTGAAGTGTCTCAGGGCAACAATCACTGCTACTGTAGGGACTCTGACCGTCAGACACTATGATTCGATATTGCAGAAATTTCGACACTAGTTAGTTAAGTCAGTCGCTGTTAGGAGGAGAATTGTAACGGACGGCTGCTCTGATCGGTCGTTTTTCGTGGTTTCTCCGATCAATTCTAGGTGAATGCTGGAACAGGACCGTAACAAACAGGCCGTGGACCGCGCGCGATCTTCCCTTCCCCTTCCTTGTCCTATTCTCACCCCTTACTTACACTTAAATGCACTACTCTATAACCCATGTCTGGAGATTAGAGCTTGTCTTGACTTAGGCGGTGCTCCACTGGCGGAAATACCTCGAGAGGAACTTTCTCAGGCAGGAAAGTGTTTTGTAGGTGGGCGCCGATTCTCACTTATCAGTCAGGAGAGACATAGCCACCTTCTTGGATATAGCACACATATCTTCCTCCTGGGATATAGTACACTGTGCTTATGAAACTAATGCCCATGGCAGTTGGCGAGCCTGGGAACCCAAGACAATGAAGTAAGGTACCTACCTTGCCCCTTACTTTATCGCTCACTCGCGCTGTAGTATGGAAGCTCGCACGAGTCACTTCCACTCCACTTCTTCTCTTGCTTGTACTGACTTTTTTCTTAGCCTTCTTTCCCATCTCGCACCCCCCCCCCCACACCATCCTCATCTCGTTCTCTCTCTCTCTCTCTACTCTCATGCCCCCATTCGTGCCATCTCGCTTCCCCCATCATCACATTTGAGACTTTCGACACCTCCCTGAATACACTACTCTCTTGTTCCTCCATATTCCATCTCTTTTCCACTCGCCCCTCGTCCGCCGCCCCACCACGTCGTCTCACTCTACTGGTCCCTCCCTCTCCCCGTACTGGTCCCTCTCGCTCCACTTTCGCTGGGGTTCGTTTTTTGTCTTGCCAGAACACGTGAATTGTTACTGCGTTAATCTACTCTTTTCACCTCTTTTTCGACCCGATCAACTTCCTGTTGACATTTCGTAGTCTTCGGCTCACCGTCCAATCACCATTGACTTCCCTTATATCACACGAGGTTTCCTTTCCACGCACCATCGTTATTCCTATTGCCACTCTCTCGGCCGTGAGTAATCTTGCCCGTTCTATGTTCCCTTCCACAACAACTCTTCATTCCCCTTCGTCCTGCTGATTCCGTCACCCTCATTTACCTCTTACACGATCGCTGCGTCGAACTTTCCGCATCCCCTGCAACACACCTTCATCTTACGATCATTCGAAGCGATATTGCTCTCGCATCCGTTACCGATCTACTGTTCTCACGGACCTTGAGCTATCAAATCCGCCCCCTAGTCACTTCTTCAGCACACAAACTCCCCCTCCACCTCCAGCATCCCACAGATCTCCTCCTCCCCCGCCTGCTCTCTTTTCCACCAGCCGCCCTCTCCGCCGCCGGCGAGCTCGCCGGCGCCTGCGCAGTAGCTTCGCCCTGCTTCCCCTCCGTACCCGCCGCCGCCGACGCACAGTGGTTGCACACGTTCGAGAGCTGGGCTAAATGAAAAAAATCGTGTGTAGTGGATTTGAAGTTCACATTTGTTTATGATATAAAAGTCATATACGCAGATGTATGCAGCGGCATCCAGAAAGAGGCGGGGGCAACTTGACCCACGCCCCAACTTAATTGGGGCCCGATTTGTTTTTCATTCAAATGAAATGAAAAATGTATTGAACACTAAACCAAATTTAATGTTTTAACTTATTTCTGATAAATGGAGCAATTTATTTTGACTATGACTTGGGGGGAGAAAGAATTTATTGTTTGATGTAAGGACCTCCCTTGAATCAATTATCCCAGATTCATATTTTTTTATGGGCGCCCTTGCGTGAATGTGACGTATTTTTTTGTTCATATTTTTAGTTCAGTTCGCAAGTGAGCCACGTGCGACAGTTTTCAATTCAAAAGGCTAATGTACAGAAAACAAGTCGTTAAAATCATTGTCAAAAGATAATGTTATAATTATATTTTAAGGTTATATACGTTCGTAACTGATTATCTATGTGATGTATGCAGAAGCGTAACAAGTGAAAAAATATATAACTTTATGTTATCAAATGCTTAATATTTGATAACAATTGAAGCAGAACAGGCAATGAGGAATAATTATTGATAATTAATATTCTGGAAAACCATGTGTGACACAGATGTATAGAATCCTTCACCTAAGTTTCTATTTTCTTGTAATACATAGTATTATATATTAATATTTCTTTAAATTATTATATCTTGCTGCGACTTCATTGCTGGAACGTATTTGTATAACAGAGTTGTTAATACCTTTCCAGATTGCGAAGACGTATATAGAATGATTAACCACTCTCTTTTTGATATTATTTAAAACATATTTTGCATCATTGACTCGCCAAACCTGTAAATATAAAAGAATGTTCCCACGAAACAACTCTCTTACATTTTGGCCAGCTCTTCGAGGTCTAGAAGCACCGTGCGCCACCGCCGCCGCGTCGGTATTTATAATGCAACAAGTGGGACGGCTTGAGGGCGCGGCTGGAGAGATGCACCTTCCGGAAGGCGGTCGCGGCGCCGCGCTCTCCAGTGCTCGCCCGCGCACGCCCGCGCACGCCCGAGCACGTCGGGACACGTCTAGACACGTTCGCGCACGCGGCGTCGCGTGCGCGCTGTACCACGAATGTGCCAGCGCTCCGGGGATGCTGCTCAGCGAGCTGGAGATGCGACGCGTGGTGTAGTAAGCGGAAAAGCTCGCGTCCACCTTTGGGTTCCACTACCTCACGTTAACGTCAGTTGCCACTGCGATGTCTCTGTTCGGGAGGTCCTAGGGTCGGCGGTGATGGGGTGTTTGACACAAGCTAGGCCCAAGCCAGCCACTGTCTGGAAGAGAGAACTTGCGGACGGTTGCTCTGATACTTAGTTTTCCGTGGTATCTCCGATCAATACCAGGGGAATGCTGGAACAATACCTTAGCCAACTTTTTTCATTAACTTCTTCCCTTATATCTTACTGCACGTACACTTATATTCAGTACACTTCCACGCATATCGGGGGAGCGATCGGTAGCTTAAAACTTGCCTCGGTGGTGGAGATACGTTGAAAATGAAATCCACGCAAGCCGGCATGTCGACGTCGTTTCGGATTCTATATATCGGGGTGGCTCATCACCACATCTAGGATGTGACATACACTGTGCTTACGGGAATAATCACCATAGCAGTTGACGCACCACGTAACACGAAATAATCAATCACCAAGAATTGCGGTCGATCCATTTGGAGTTTATGGTGGATAAAAAAGGTTCGGGTCAGATTTTCGTAGGGATTTGCATGCATCTCATTGCCTCATTTTGTTTCATATATTTTTGGAATCACCAATCCGTCAATATAATTCTGCTACTACAGATGTGGCATTAAGGTTCAGTAAATGAGTTCATCTTTGCTACTGAATGAAAAGAAGCTAGCATTTTCTCTAGATCAGCCAGTTTCCCATACAAAAGTATATTAATAGTGAGTATAGCTGGAATCTGAGTGGTAATATTTTTCTCCAGACGTATCTAAATCTTGATATTTTTTACCATATTGTGGACAAATATCATTAGTTAGCAAAGAAGATACAAAACATTCAATTTTGTTTTCATAACAATGTAAATATATATTTTCATAATAATATAACCAATGATAGTATTTCATATCATTGGTCTTCAAATCTTTCAATAATATTCTCCAAAAAGTAATATTTTATTGAATCACCCGCAGTGTCTCTTTGTAAGAATTGTCGAATATTCGTTCAAGTCAACAAAGATGCAACAACTGAAAACTGAATCCACTGAAAAAAATGCATCCTGTTAATTATCACAATGAGTGTAAAACGACCACCACTCTACATTTTCCCCGAATTCATGATGGTCTTTAATCTTATGTAGATCATTGCTATCACTTTCACTGAAAACAACTCAAAATTTCCATCTAATGACATTCAAATCCCAGTCACCCAAGTTCCTTCTAACCACAATCCGCTCTCGCTTCTCTCTCAGCCCTTGCATTGCGTCCACATGTAATTTCGTCGTTTGCTTCTCCGCTACATTTTCCGACACTCGCTGCTATTCTTCCGACGGTCCGTTTACTCTCACTCTCACTCTTCCTCACTCACTCTCTCTCTCTCTCTCTCTCTCTCTCTCTCTCTCGGCAAGAAGCAGCATAGGGTTCGGCGGAGGCCCCACGGCGACGGGGCAGAGGGGGCGGCGGGGGCGGGGACCAGGCAAGCAGATCGATATCAGGACGCGCGCACACACGGCGCCATCCCAGCCGCCCCCGTCGCCCCCGCCGCCCCCGCCAACACCCCTGCGCGCCTCTCGACCCGGGTCGCCGGCCAACACAGCGGCTGCCACAGTGAAAGCTCCGCGTTTGAGCACGCTGGAATATCGTGCTACTAGGTACTAGGCGAATGGTTCATATTGATGTTACTGGCTTTCTTGTATGCTCTTTTGTTCAAAACTATCCCTGCACCTGGGGCAAGGAAGGTTATTGTCTCCGAGAAATACCTCCTTAATATGAATTAACTTCCAATTATATACGTACGTACAAAAATCTTCTTCGCATCATCAGAAAAAGGAAGAGAATTCTTTTCTCTACACCAAATAAATGTTTGGTAGCTTGCACTCTTACGTAATGTATGACGTTAATCACATTTATTCTCGTATCTACTCGATTTGATCATAACAAAATTCTTGATCTTCGACGAAACATATTTATTAATTTCGTATTTTTGTGATTTTATATTTCTAATGGTTTTATTTAGTTATTTATTTTAACTTGTATTCTTTGTATTTTGTGTTATAATAATTCAGTAAAATATTATATTGTAATAAAGAAGTTATTAAAAAAATGTATTCATAATGAGTTATAACACACTAGGCGAGTGTAGTATTTTAACTCAAAGAATCTCGTACTCTTTTTTCCACGTTCCGTTATTTAACTGGTCTTTTGAATTCACATCGTTATTTTTTCAAACCTATTAATAAAGGGAAAATAACTCGGGAAAATGACACTTTTTGTGTGTTTTTGAACGGATTTAGCACGATGCACTGACTCACAATGTAAGCTCGGTTTTAATTCGCTTCAATTTTCATTTAATTTATTTTTATTTAATATAATGTGTATTTTATAATTCAATACATATTTGAGCTCAAATGCTTTAAACGCTAATGTTAAGAAGGCTTCCGAAATCTTAAAAGTTTCCGAGTCTAAATGAAATCTCTCAAAATTGCTTATTTTCATATTCGCTCGAATTACATTTTCTCATAAACGGCACCAACTTTCCCGAAAATCTCCTAATGGAAATGTTTTATTTTTTATGATATTATGAAGGTATAATTTCAATACAAGTATTAGGGCACCAAGAAAGAAAATGTAGAAGTTTTTTCTATACATCACAAACCGACGGAAGTAACTTCGATAGTTCGATGCACTTCAGAACAATAAATTTTAACTCGCTAATCAGTGTTTCCCCTGTAAACTAGTTGTATGCAGAAGCCAAAATGCTCCTGTAATAAACCACGTGAATGGTTTCCCAAAAAACACACACACTGCTCAAGAACCACCAATAAAATACTTTCATACATTTAACACCGAAACAAATTAGTTTAACACTAATAGATGTCAAGAGAATTACAATAGCATTTTATTTATACAGTTCAACATTTCTTTTCATAACGAGAATATCAAAAAGTTTCTGATTCACAACGCACTCATGAGTAGCAAATATTTAGTAGCGAACGGCCTCTTCCTTGGGAACGTACTGTCGCTCGACAGCTGTGTCATAACCAGTGACTCACTGAGTAGGATAATTGTGTCGGTACAATTACAGTATGAGAATACACAATCAAATATTTGCATTTTCAGTCAAAAACGGAACTGTTTCATTGATTTTGTATTTTTCCGACTTTCTGAGTATCTAACAAAACTATAAAAGAATGATGTTTATTTATTTTTCGATTTCTACACGAAACGGACATTAGCAATACAGATGGAAATGTTTGTATATAACTGCGTCGAGTCTTGGTTCTTCGAGCGTTGGTAATTGTTTCATTAATTATGTATTTTTCCCTTTTTCCTGTGTATCTAGCGAAACCCTAGACATCTCTCACAAAACCGAGGTAGTTTAGTTTTCTTTGAATTTCTAAGCGCAGTGTAAATTAGTATCATAGATAATCATATGTGCATAGGAGAGCGTTGCGGCTTGGCTCTCTATGCGTTCGAAACTGTTTCAGTTTTTTGTTGGTATTTTTCCCGACTTCCTTTCCAAAACCGTAGGCATCTCTCATATGACCGGGAACTGTTTAGTTTTGTTTCAATTCATACGCACAGAGGAAATTAGTATTATATAATATATAAAAATCAAAATTTGTTCGTGTTTTACGAGCTCCCGTTCAGTTCATCCGATTGCTATGAAACTTTGTCAACTTACTGCTTACACTTGAACAAATACTATAGTTTTAGTTCAATGGTATTGTGCGTATGTCAGTCACACATTGACGTGCGTTGATGATTTAATACGTTTCTCTCATGCGCCCATGAACTGAAGCTCTACGCTACCCGACGCACCCTCAAGTATTAAGCGCGTCTTTGTTGCTTATTATGCCCCTGCGATTGTGAAACATCGGCCGAAATTATTAATTGAACGTTATCTCGGACAAGTAAATCCAATTTCTCCGATACTTTCATAGCGAATGCATATCCGAACTTGCCGTTCTAACAATACAATAATTGACAACCATGACAATGACCAATTGACAACCACGTCCAAAACAGGACGTAAAACAAATCTACACTCGAGAAAGTCTTTCAACTAATAAAATTGTGCAGAGCATGGCGTAAAACGTGATTCACAATCACGTTTGAAAGAGTAATACATTGCAATAGCGAAGCATTTCAGGGCTCACTAGTAGATAATAATACATGCATAAGAGCATGTTGAGGTTTGGCATTCCGAGCGATGGCTCCCCTCGGCTACCGTGCGGGGCTCTTGAGCCGGAGCTCGCGAGACAAGCGGCTGCCGCGCGCTCTCAATTATCGCAGTTAGCGCGCAACTCGGGATGAACCGCGTTTCTTCCCCCTCGCTCCAGCCCCCGGCTCCGGCGGCGAAAGGATCAGAGGCAGGGCGACAGAGGGTTGCGGAGGGCTGGAGCCAGGGACGCGAATAAATACTCCTGCGTCGAAATTTCGGGCCAAGAGGGCGGTCTCGTTGTACGAGTGTCTGGAAAGTGAGATTGCATTCCATAGAGGTCGGGAGGAAAAATGATTTAGGGCTCACGTTTACGCCTCTGGTAATTCGGGTTTTATCCTTGCGGTTTTCTATCGCAGCTGTTTGTCATTGCTATCGGGAATCAAGTTCGAATAAAATATTTACGAGGGTAATACCCTGATTTAGATTCTTGCCAAATGTGAAAGGCGCTCTGCCATAAGTAGGGAGCGGATTTTAATGAAATGTAATTTTTTCTGTTCACTTTAGAACAATGCCGTTTAGTATAGAGTTTAATTTTTTGTTATGACGAAATTAAATTACCCATTTTTATGTAATTTTTGTACAATTTCGAGTAATAATTCATTTTTTCCTTTTAAGTAATTTTTACTGCATGTTTTGCAGATTTAATCGATTTTAACATAATTTAAATGGTTCTTGTTTCAAACAATACTTACAAGTTGCAACAAATGCACACCACAAAATTCCT